TTGTAATTTTTGGGTCAAATCCAATTTTTAGGTGTATACTTCTTTTGTCCGGTAGTTTTGTTATACACTGTCAGCTTAAGTTGGGCGAAAAGGCAATCTCATTAAAGTCAGATCTTAGTTCTCGCTACCGCTAAACAAAGATCTTGTTTTTTATTTCGCCAATCCGAGAAGAAAATCCGATTGATAAGCATAAAGAAACAGATCTGCAAGAGGGGTAGCACCAATGTGCCCCTGAGGATGCTAGTAAGGCCAAGTTATCTATGAGGAAGTCCAGCGTTTCACATATTGCTTTCTCGGTAAATCTCAGATGACATTTGCCTCCATATTTGACAAATTGTCCTGAACAATTGAAGAGTCAACTATATCTGTGGCCACCATTCCAGTGTCAACTGTCCCGTGGATAAAGGAAAGAATTATTTCCTTAAGCTTGTCATGTGGATAGCGGTTACAACGCTGAAAATCAAATGCTTTGACAGAATTGTTTGAAATTGCAAAACATGCAAGCGTTTTTGAGGATACATATGGTATCAATTCCACTTGTCTCAAATACTGTTTGGGAAAAATGTATATTGAAGGCCCTTCCTTGACTGTGTTAAAGGAGTGTTGTTAATCTTTAAGACGGTGACTTGGTGGTACATTTGCTGGACCCTGCAGTATTTCCAGTACAAATGAGGAATGGACATGCCTTTACTTGTGAGAGTCAAGGCAATAGTTCTGATGCGTGGATTTGGCACATTTCGTCCTCAGTTAACCCACTGGCCTTATACGTGTCATATACTGGATATACGTGACATATACTGGCCTTATACGTGGCATATACTGGATATACGTGGCATATACTGGCCTTATACGTGACATATACTGGCCTTATACGTGGCATTTACTGGCCTTATACGTGGCATATACTGGATATACGTGGCATATACTGGATATACGTGACATAGCACCATAAAATCGGCATTAGCTAGGGCCCGTACGCGCGCACACACATACACGCACGCACGCACGCACACACACACACACACACACACACACACACACGCACGCACGCACGCACGCGCGCGCGACGCTAAATTAGTGCAATAATCCTGAACGCGACATTAAACCCCTCTGATCAAACAAAGTAGTGATGCTAACATATTATGATCATGTTATTTTAGGCCTTGTCAGTGGTAACAACTTCAACTTCGTGTAGGGCAGCCAGACTTAGGATGACAGCTGGCTAGGACAGAATGAGTATATTTTGTTTCCTCTTTTTCGGCTAGAGCATTCTACCAGTGACAACATCACGCACGAGTCTCACCTCCTCAAACGCATAATAGTTAATCCTAGCAAAATTCGCGTCATTCAAAACTTGTTATGTTGTAGTGAATGAGTGAGCGAGTTAGGTTTAAAGGGGCACTGATCTAAAGCAATTCCCCGGGACTGGTGGTTGCCTTTGTTATTGTTTTTTCCCCGTAAATACCCGGATGATACGCAAAGCAACTAAGCGTGACAAGAGACTTGGCAACCGTCTGCAAGGACAGCTGAATAAACTTGGAGGCAATATTTTTTTTACTCAATTTTGAACACTGATTGGTTAATCGTGAACGCATGTTAATTAATTTCTTCAGCCTAAACAAACAGACAAAAAGAGGCTCATCAGATGTCGTCATTTGGAAATAGTTATATGATTGTTATAGTTTAATAATAAAAGAGTATCCATGCAGTGAAAGCATTTTCGTATTGCGTCGATAATACGATTACTTCTCCCTTGTTGTCATCCTAGTTTTCTGGTATAACCCTACGCTTGTGTGTATTTGTCATCATTCACTTGATGCTCTGTTAATTAATTTATTACAGGTATAATTAGTGGTAGCACCGCTCAGAAACTCACGGGAAAAAACAATAACAAAGGCAACAACCACCCGGGGAATTGCTTTAGATCAGTGCCCCTTTAACGCCGCTTTTAACAGTATTCCAGTTATATCGCGGCGTGCCAGCTTAATGTGGGAGGGAAGCCCGAAGTGATGCAGGTCTCAGACGTTTACCATTTTTGTGAAACCCACGAGCGCGGGTATGGTGCTGACAAACCTAGAAACATAATCGGGGCAAACACGGATTCGAACCCACAATCATAGGTTTCTGGCGGGCCCAAGGGACGCAACTCTGCACAGCGAATCGCGGTGCCTTAGACGACTGGGCCACCCGTGCCCCCTGTTATTTGTAGACCAAGGGGGGTGTTAATTAATATCCTTATCACACATATACATTGTCTCGATGTTAGACACGTCGCTTATTCGTGACTAACTCGTTACATACCGTGACAAACTGAAAGGAGATTGTTACCCCTCTAGATGGATTTCATATTGCACATCAGAACTCATTTGTGACCAACTCATTACATTCCGTCATAAGCCGAATGCCGATTCGTATCCCTCTAGAAGGATTCCTATTGCCGAATGAACATCAGAACTCATTCGTGCCCAACTCGTTACATTCCGTGACAAGCCGAATGCCGATTCGTATCCCTCTAGAAGTATTCTTATTGCCTCATGAACATCAGAACTCATCCGTGACCATCTTATGTCATACCGGAACAAGCTTAAGGCAGGTTACGGAAAGGGGCGCGTGGCGACGAATGACATGCCACTTAATACAATGTCAAGCCCGAGACTGAAAATGGGCACCAAACTATGGGGAAGAGTCTCCTTTTCATATTGGGCGATCTGGTCTCCCATCACACTCTTAATGGCGTCTCTTCAAACAGAATTTGACTCACATCATGACCTCTGTCTACATATTTCAATTTGGTCCAAATCTATAAAGGTCATCTTTCGGAAACCAATACCAGTTTTAATTGGCATTGCCATTCCAACCAGGCAGCACGGGACTTACAGAGATACCGATGGGGTAACAAGGGGATACACATGGGATACACATGGGATACACATGGGATACACATGGGATACAGGGGTACAGAAACAGGAAGACAAATGACCATGTTAGGATTTTGGGTTAGAATAGATCCAGAGGAAACTATTCTTGTCTTTAATGACAATAGATTCGGTTGCCACGTCATCAAAATATCCAGTCCATACTCAATTATTTTACAGACTGTTTTCATATTGCAGGAATATGGTTCCGGCGTAAAACAACAAAACAACATAATCATACACAAAGGATTGTATCAAATATACAGGCAAAAATTACGCACAGTGCCCGTGTTAACAAGATGCCAACAGGTCACTAAAATAAGACAGCAGTTTGGTAAATCTCAAATGAAGAAGAAAGAGGGGTTTAAATAATCCAGGAATTTCCGCTACACCACCCTGTATATAACTAATGTTTGAGAAAGAAATAATAGCTGATACTTAAAGTAAACATCCGCCAAGGGCGTTTCATCTTATTGATTATTTAACTTTGAATGTGTGGCCAGCAAGTTGGAGTGTCTGTGTCAACTCCTGGATTATTTACATTAAGGCAGAGATGCCAGGTCGAGGAGACCCAGTGCCAGTAGCATGCGGCGTTTTACCGCCACTTTATGACCACTCCGATTTGGATGGAGGAAATTGAAGTTTTCTTTGCAATATGGCTTAATATTAACGTTTATCAGTTGACATGGTAGCAAACTAAATAACATTGGTCCTTGCGTTTTCTAAAATGATTATGGTGATGATGATTTTTAATGTTTATCAGTTGATATGGTAGCAAACTAAATAACATTGGTCCTTGCGTTTTTTAAATGATTATGGTGATGATGATGATTAATGTTTATCAGTTGATATGGTAGCAAACTAAATAACATTGGTCCTTGCGTTTTTTAAAATGATTATGATGATGATGATTAATGTTTATCAGTTGATATGGTAGCAAACTAAATAACATTGGTCCTTGCGTTTTTTAAATGATTATGGTGATGATGATGATTAATGTTTATCAGTTGATATGGTAGCAAACTAAATAACATTGGTCCTTGCGTTTTTTAAAATGATTATGATGATGATGATTAATGTTTATCAGTTGATATGGTAGCAAACTAAATAACATTGGTCCTTGCGTTTTTTAAAATGATTATTTTGATGATGATTAATGTTTATCAGTTGATATGGTAGCAAACTAAATAACATTGGTCCATGCGTTTTTTTAAATGATTATGATGATGATGATGATGATAAATGTTTATCAGTTGATATGGTAGCAAACTAAATAACATTGGTCCTGCGTTTTTTAAAATGATGATGGTCTGGTGTAAGACGTTATTGACACAATTGTTGTAGCCAATATCTTCAGCACAATACATAAGTGACATTCTCTAATATCAGCATTAGTACGCAAGCATAACGGAACTTGGCATGATCATGTTTGAATGCTTGCAATGGTGGAACGTTTCATAATATTTCATGTCTGTGGCCTTTAACAGCGCTTTCTGGAATACAGTGTTTAAGGCAACGCATGGATGGTCTGGTCCAGACTCGATTTTTGGGGTCATCACTGATTGTCAATTATCCATTCATGTATGTTATCATTATTTTGCTTTTTAAGCCCAATTTGATCTGTTTCGGCTGATAACAGAGACTGGTTATTCTCTGGTATTGACGTTTTTAATTATATATATATATATATACACGTCTGTGCATTTCTCCATTAGAACGCATACGTACGCATATGAATAAAATTATATAAACCATACACGGTTAAAACAAAGAGGGATTTTCACATATTTTGTATAAACTCAATCACGCCACTTATTAATGACATACGAAAGCATGAGTTTCCATACGATCGTGGTTGTTTACGGGTTGATGGAACGCCTATTTAACAACAATGTAAAATATGTACATAATGATACCAAAGGAAGATTCGAACACATGTTTTCGACGTGAAGCGCGGACACTCACCCTGGGGGCGAGAGGGGGCAGATGAGATGACGGGATCAACAGACGATGGTCAAGATATACACAGAAATCTGACACTGGGTTTCCGGCAAGGCAACGTGTAAATAACAAATCTATAATTACATGGGGGTATCCAAGCAGACAGCTACATCACACAGACTGTTGGCGAGGAGGTGGACACGTCACTCTTACCTTGCACACTAAGTCTTAGAAACTCCGACATTTCAATACCATTTTCATTGAGATCAGGAGCTGATCGGGGCCTTTCAGAGTCAGAAGGGGGCAACTTTGTCCTACTGGCAATGTTTTCACTACTGTTGTGACGTTCTATAGGCTGGAACTGACACTGGGGGTGCGGCGGCGAATGTACTTCCGCAATACTGATTCGTGACGTGAAGGAAGCTTGGGGTTGGATCCGAGGAAGCGCATCAACGTTAACTGAACTGGACCCACAGACCTCCGATGGATCATATAACTGACTGTTCCTTGAACCACGAGGCGAGGTTGCCTTTGACAAGGATCCATCAACTTTTTCCACGTACATCCTACAATGTTCACACAGGTCCAGATCAAATACTTTAATGTATTTCACCGCAGGTTGGTTTATATTAACCTCACTCTCGTTTGGATTCCTTACGTCACTTCTTATCCAAAATGACTTGTGTTTGACGTCACAATCGTGCACACGCTGTCTCTGTCTCCTTGGTGATAGGTGACGGACACTGGCTGCCTTTAGGTAGTGCCATTCCCGCGGGCGTTTACGCCGGAAGTACTCGTCATCGGAAATCTGTCTATAATAGCTTGTATTGAGCTCGTCAAGCTCGTACGCCGACCGAAAGTGTTTCTTCACGTTACCAGACCCCTGTCCTTTAGGAAAATCATCCAATGAAAACCGGACATCTTCTGTTGAAAGCAGGCGATTATTGTCGCCCTTTTCATACACATGGGAGACCCCATTTGCCTCCGAGTAAAAATGAGACAGGTTGTCAGTCATTGGGGTGTCACTTCCGGCCAACTTACCTCTAATTCTTGGTCTACGGGCCGACAAATTCTTTTCCTGGTATTCTACTATGTATTGTCTTTTCTTGGCTTTTCTTCTCAGATGACGTCGGAATGACAAACAAAGCCCCAGGATGAAAAGACAGGCGATAGCGACAGAAGGCACCCACATTATATGTTTCGATGTCGGCATCATTTGTGGACCCACCGTGGTCGTCTGCTCCACACTCAAATGCATTAAATCAGATAAGAATATCCCCACTTACTTAAAAACAACAAACAACATCGCTGTGAAAAACCTCCTACCAGCACAAACCGTTATGCTGTCTTAATTGTGTTTGGCAGACGTAAGACTTCTCACTCCTACCGGATGAAATTCGGTCCTCAAAGTCACAGTTAAAGGACAATGCTCTAGCATTAGTTGAAGACGTTTCAAGACTCTCTGGGGGATGCTTCATCACAAGACTTCTGTAAAAGCGTTACATCTCATTGCCTTTATCAGCGGTCTCGTGTCATGGCAAGCTGGTACCTCGAGGGAGCGTTTGTCAGACATTCTTGAACCAGCATTCTTGAACACTAAATCACACACATCGCCCATAAACACATCCTTTTACTGGAAAAAAAGGATGTCAGAATTATGGAACTTAAATGCAGTTCGTCAAATTTGCTAACAGGACGTTGGTCCTTTTTTCCATTTAACTGATTAAAGGCTTCAAGTTTCAGCGAATTATCTAATATGTCACGTGGCCAATACAATTCAGAATAGATTGTCGTTGATTGTACATTATGAAAGTCACTCCTTTAGCTCACAGTGTATGGCGGACACAGTAAAAACTGGTGATGGGAATATAACATGTATGTTAATATGGAAGGCTGGTGCTTATGATCTTCTAGTGTTGGTGGTCTCCGTCCCGAATGTCAAGCAATTAATTATCACAATTTCATCACATAACATACTGTCATTATCGACCAATGTCCCAAGTTATAATCTAGCGTTGATCCCCGTTCCGAATGCCAATCATTATTAACGATCACTTTTTCATGAAATAACATGCTGTCATTATCCATGCGTGGAACACGTTATAATCCTCTACGTCTTGGTCTCCGTTCTGAGTGTCATTCCAATTTAAAAGGAATCTTCATAATATGTTATGCCAATATCAGTCATTGGATCCCGTACTGAAGATCAGTTAAGTCGTGATCAGTGTGTCACTATCCAACATATCTTGTCCGTATGGAGATACTTTGGTCAGAATGACCCCCTGGACCTGTCATTCGAAGAAGAAACAGCAAATCATGACCAACAAGCCAATGGGCGAGGGAGAAGGCCTACAGTGACTGTCTCGAGCTTTGACAACATGCGCATCTTACAGCGGTGGTTCTGCTCGGTTACACAGGTTCATATGCTATGGCAGATGAATGTACACTTCTTGATGACAAATGAATTATTCACCGCGGGGGAAAACGAGAAGCGATTGAGTTATATTGTGTAGTTGACGTTGCGGAACACATTGCACAAGGCTGTCAAAAGTTCAAGCATGTTAATCCGGTATCAGATGCTGACTTGTGAAATCACTTCGAAGTTTTATTCCATCCTCATATCATACAATAGATATGGTTTGTCACCAAGGAAAATGTCAGCTTGATCTCCAATCAAATATCGATTTTCCTTTTTTCAAATGAAATATGCATGGTTGTAGAAAACCATGTCATATGAACAGCTAAAAATCCTTTATATTTATGTTACCAGTGGCCTTTATCTTGCGACGAAAGTTCAGCAGCCAGTATACCTCCAAGATAGCTGACATCAGAAACATTCGGCATCCATTATCCTATAATGTTTCTGATAAAACGTTGTATTCACCGTCACGAATATAATCTAACATCATCAAATCGTTTTTCGTTCTTGTAGTCTTCTCAGTTGTATTCATCCTTCATACATTCCATCTGCATTGTATGTCCACAACGACTCACACTCCGTCCCATGAGGTAAGTCCATCTTGAAAATGTCACTGCAGTCTTGGATAAAGTCTTACATAATGAATGGTGTCAAGACCAGTCAACAACGTCTGTCACCCTCCACTATGGCCACCCCCAGAGGGTGTTTTCGCAATCCAGACGTTTCTTCGTTGCTTTATATCGGCCTGAATTTTGCTCGTCAGCTCGGGATCGATATTTACTTGGCTAAAGATCCGTGGCTATACCTTTACCCGCCATACTTAATTAGATGTTCTCAGGGTGCTCGACTTTTACTGTAGGCATCGAGCGTCTGTCTGATAAAGCCTCGTGACATATTTCCGGGTGGTAGACGGTACTTCGCTGCCACTATTGGTGTGATCGGTATTACTGGGATTGAATCTAAAGCTGATGGATCTTGAACGCAGTTAGTCACAACACCTTATCTGGAAGTGTTGTAAATTTAATGAACATGCGCGTACTAGCATGACACGCAATAAGGCGACCACGCTTGGAGTTTTCCCAATGAACAATAATGTTTACGGTAAACAGGGCGCGTCCATTGTCTGTGGATCACGACCTATTCCTGTGAGTATCTGTAGGATCTTCCAGCTGTCTGAGTGTCCACTGACCACTGTCAAGACCTAGAACAATGTCGAAGCCCTCCAGCTTGTCGGTGAAGACAACCTCGTCATTGCGCCAGATCGGATTGAAACGGAAATCGTCTGCGTTTGGTGCCAACTCATCTTGAATGTCTCTCCAAAACTCATCAGCTTTTTCTCACTTTTTGTAATTCAGTCCAGAAGAAGCAATCATTGAGTGGCCGGTCTCTTCGTTATAACAATCAGCGCAGGCTCTTCGACACCGCTGATGACAGGATTTTCTAATATTGTGAATGGCGGGGAAATGTTGAAAGTGAAATAGTTTCCAAATCAATCATCCTCTTCTGGTCTACTTACGGCTAATTTCCCCTCAACGATTCTGTGGCATAAACATGCCAAGCTTTTTTTACGCGTGTTGTATAAAAATTGATTCGTACACAACTGGTTCCTTGCCTGTGAGTCACGTGGTCTGCGGGTCTTCCCTGCCGACGGCTATGTTTGTTTTGTTGTCAAAGAAAGCCTGTTCCATGCTGCACACGGACAAGCAAACTCCGCGCAGTAGACCTTCACACAGCGTCATGCAAACCTGGTTCAGATTCAGCTGAGTGTATGTGAAGGATGCTTATATGGGTCATATATATGGGGGACAGGGGAGGGTAGCCTAGTGGTTGAAGTGTTGACACGTCACGCCGAAGACCCGGGTTCGAACGCCCACATAGGTACAATGTGTGAAACCCATTTCTGGTGTACCCCGCCGTTACTGGAATATTGCAATAAGCCACACACACACACACACACGCACGCACACACAGACCCACGCACATACACACTCATATCTATCGGTGAGGTCTGTGTGTGTGCGTGCGTGCGTGCGTGCGTGCGTGCGTGCGTGCGTGTGTATGTGTGCTTGCTTTTACGGACTAATGTCGTTTTTTATAGTACTAGCCCACTGAGATACCATGCCGCAGAAACATGAATACCCCACTCAGACACAGTATACAGACTCCGAGCCGACAAGTCCTTGTTTTAGTCCCTTAATGCCGAGCGCCAGGGAGGGTAACAACAAGTACCATCTTTTAACGTATTTTGGTTCGGCGCGGCCAGGGATCGAACCCCCGACTTTCCGCTCTCCGATCAACCGCATTACCCACGGTCTACACGGGGTACAGCCAGGGGCTATGTGTCACAGTACCAAGCTGTTTATGTGAGCTGGACTACCAGGGCAGTGACACAAGCATCATTCGACATGCATTGTTTCTTATCACAGTACATGTACATTCAACCACCGTAAAATACAAGACCCGCGCAACGACTATTGAAGGATTATCGTATATAAATTTAAACCGCTTCCGTGGTCTAGTGGATAGAGCGTCTGCCCGGAGGGTGGAAGGTCCGTGGTTCGATCCGCGGCGCATCATAATGAAAGACGTTAAAATAGGGAACTTGTTGTTTCCCTGCCTCGCGTTGGGCATTAAGGGGATAAAGCAAGGACTGGCCAGTATACTGTGTTTGAGTTGGGTTTTCATGTTAAACAACGGCATGGTATCTCAGTGGGTATTAATTGGGGCAGTTCTTAGTTCGAATCCCAAGTTCTCGACATGGGTTACGGACCCATTATGGAAAAAGCGATTGGATAAAGGTAGTAAAGGATAATAATTTTATCCGAATATTTTTTTCATCCTTATATGATCCACACATTCTAATGTGTGACTAGATTCATACTTAAACAGACCACGGACGATGTGCCCAAAAACAATAAGAAAACAAGGTAACCTTTACCAAATGTAAATAAATCAATTAATCACTTAAATCTTCAATAGATCAGTAATCCAAACAAGCTTGTTCTTGAGACAGTCAATAACCCCTGAGGCACACCCTAAGGAATATCACATCCTCTCTGTCCATACACTCGATGGCTAAACTACAACCACCCCGTAATTGAATGCCCATAGTCCTCCGCGTCGATACTGACCTGCACACAACCTAGCTCCATCTGTAGGCCTGCCGTGACAGCGGATCCAGAGAGATCCGAAGTCAATAGACAGCCTTTCTCCTCCCTCCCCTGATAGTTTGTCTCGGGTATGTTTCTTACCTGTACAACAGGCAGGTAATCAATACCTTGCAATCACGTACATTACCACACTAGGTGTAGTCTACCTGATGCAGGAAGTCTGGTGTGAAATATCCGCCATGTCGTGGCTTTAATTATACACGTTTCTTCTTTGCCGTATGTTATTGATACAGTTCGTGACTTCGACTTTGTAATTGTACACCAGCATGACACACTTCTGGCTTGAATATCTTAGTGAAGTCTTTTATATTTTATTAGTTTGTTTGCAGAGATGTTTGCCTAAATTTCAACTAGATGGTCGAAAAATATTTCAACTTCCAGATTGGTACTGCTATTAATGAATGAAGGTCACTCCATCACGTAAGTACGATTGTAAAAAACAATTATTTTTGTCTGAATAAAGACTTTTATACGTAATATTCATAATTCTTTACGAGTGAGTGAGTGAGGTTGGGTTTTACGCCGCTTTTAGCAATATTCCAGCAATATCACTGCGGGGGACACCAGAAATGGGCTTCACACATTGTACCCATGTCGGGTATCGAACCCGGGTCTTCGACGTGACGAGCGAACGCTTTAACCACTAGGCTACCCGACCGCCCTAATTCTTTACGAACAGGGCGATACAAATCTTGTGTTTTTTTCACGTTTTTTCACATCCGGTGGTATGTACAGATCGCCCTGCCTGCTGCATTAAAAGGCGATTCTGATCCAGGGTCTGTTGTCCATTCTCAGTCTAGTTGTTGACTTTGTAAATAATACCGCGCATGCAACTAGGACATTATATCAGCAGGCAAACAAATAGTATTTAGGTCAGATAAAAACGTAAATTGTGTCGCCTAGCAGGAACTACTTTCAAGCTCCATACATCAAAATACCATGCCTTCTTTCTCAATAAACTGTTGACAAACGTTTCCAATATGCTGAGATTATTATTACCCAATATGTCGCCGAAACATGGCGACAAACATGAATGTAGTCATTCCGCACTATATGATAACATTCGTGACCAACCGAATAGCGACTCGTGCCCCTCTCGTGGCCATTTTTTTGCGACTGGGTTCTGTCTAAGCGCAAACGGGCATAACTAAAACAATTGTCAACTCGTTGTGTAATGATTCACGCAAATTTCCCATATGTCATATATATTTCAGATGCTATTTAAGACACTTCGGGACGTAAGGTATTATACAGTATGATTGAACACATTTAACTGTGTCTTGGGTATATTTTTAGATGCAAGACATATGTAAAATCAAAAATTATATCTGAGGGATTCTTTGACGAAGAACTTGAAATCATACGCGCATTCTGATTGGTTTATCGTATTTTCGCACATAACATTCTTTGATAGGGGGGCGAGTCTTCTTGCAGGTCACTGAAAGGGGCGAGTGGTGACGAATGTATATGATAAATTGGGCGATTCACTCAAAAAATGTATTCATACGCAGTTTCTCAAGCTACTTCATTGATATAACTTACGTGTTAAACATCCATTATATTAAGGATGACATTACATACATACATACATACATACATACATACATACATACATACATACATACATACATACATACATACGACCATACATACATACATACATACATACATACATACATACATACGTACATACGTACATACGTACGACCATACATACATACATACATACATACATACATACATACATACATACGTACGTACGTACGTCCATACATACATACATACATACATACATACATACATACATACGTACGTACGTACGTCCATACATACATACAAACATACATACATACATACATACATACATACGTACATACGTACGTACGTACGTCCATACATACATACATACATACATACATACATACATACGTACGACCATACATACATACATACATACATACATACATACATACATACATACATACATACATACATACATACATACGTACGTACGTCCATACATACATACATACATACATACATACATACATACATACATACATACATACATACATACGTACATACGTACGTACGTACGTCCATACATACATACATACATACATACATACATACATACATACATACATACATACATACGTACGACCATACATACATACATACATACATACATACATACATACATACATACATACATACATACATACGTACGACCATACATACATACATACATACATACATACATACATACGACTCATACACACACACGGCTTAAAATCGCTATGTATGCAGCGGGGACATTATCGCTGGGTAACGATTAACTGCTGTATTGATAAGCATCAGGAAACTGAACAAGTAGGCAAAGAATGTTGTGTTTGAGGGACTTGAATCAAACATGCTGGGACTGGTAATTACCCAAACTAAGTCCCCCTTTAAGTTGAAATCATTATACAGCTACACAATACAGGTTTTCCAGCTTTCCAATATCTTTTATCAGGTACACACCCCGCTATGGACTCGTACAGTTCCATGGTCACATCAAAGGCCAGGTAATGCAATAATCGTTGCCATGGATGGCTCAATACTTGAAATCAATAGATGAACAAGGGGTTAATTTACACCCGTGACAACTGCATTATTGGTCCATGGCGTCTTTCTCCGACACACTAAGTTGCAGCAGGATCACGAGGGGTAGATGGGGTTTTATGCGTCCAGCGATAGGTTTTATTTAAAATCCCATGTACCGGGAGTGATCCTGCTACAACGAATTTATCTTACCAACATGTTTTGATATGATACTGTAAATGAATTCAAACAAATTCAAAATTGATAGAAAACAACTGTTGGAATGAACGGAGGTTAACTGGTGCTATGTCGCGTGACTTATTCTGCCTCTCAGAAATCCATGTGCAACCTGTCTTGCTCGTGGCGGGGTATAAGAGATTTATTCCCCCGCTGAGAAATTTATTACCCTCCAAGGCGGGTAACACAGTATTGTATCAAGATCACGTGGACTAATCAGATCTCATAATTCTGACATGGGCGTGTGATAAAAGCAGTTGTACCCGTCAGGTTTAAACATCACAACCAACCCGACGAGGAGCTGACCACAACATTATCAGCTTCTCGTGTTGTGCAGAGGTCACAACTACGTTGATGATAAGCTTCGTCTAAATGCTGCAATTGGCTGTGCTGAGTTCGACCTGATAATGTTTCTAGGTTTGTCAGCACCATACCCGTGCTCGTAGGTTTCACCGAAGTGGTAAACGTCTGAGACCTGCATCACATTGAACTGACACGCCATGATATAACTGAGGTACTGTTAAAAACGGCGTTAGACCCAACTCACTCACTCACTCAGTTCGGAT